GTGTTTGGTGTCTGTCATGTATCAGGGTAGGTTCACTGTAACAAAGGTGCCACACTGAGGGGACATTGACAGTGGGAGAGATATGCCTACATGGGGCAGGATATAGGGGACTTTCTATGATTCCTGCTCAGTTTTGTTCTTAACCTAAAACTGGTTTTTTTTGTTGTTGTTGTTTGTTTTTTTGAGACACAATCTCACTATGTTGCCCTAGGTAGAGTGCCATGGCGTCACAGCTCACAGCAACCTCAAACTCTTGGGCTTAAGCGATTCTTTTGCCTTAGCCTCCCAAGTAGCTGGGACTACAGGCACCCACTACAATACCTGGCTATTTTTTTTGTAGCAGTTGTCATTGTTGTTTAGCAGACCCAGGCCAGACTCAAACCCATCAGCTCTGGTGTATATGGCTGGCACCCTACCCACTGGGCAATGGGTGCCACCTGTTCTGTCTTTTTTTAAAAAACCTAAGATGATAGTCACTACCTTACCTAAACTTTCCCAAGGGTACCCATTTTACTAAAAGTCTAGGTTCCTCGCCACAGTCTGCAAAGCACAGCACTATCACGTCCTTATCCCCTGCTCTTCTCCCATCAGTCACAGGCTCCAGCCTCAGCCTCCTGGGCAGCCCGAGCCTTGTCCCACCACAAGGCCTTGTCCCTGCCCTTTGTACGGGAGTTCCTCAGTGGCAAGATCTGCTCACATGTCAAAACCCTCCCCCAAAGTATCCTTTGCAGGAAGCCAATTAATTGCTTCTGCAACAGCACACTGTCTGCCTCTTACTCCACAGTCCATACCTAGGAGATGGACCTTGGGGTGAGAGCCCCTCTTTTGCAATGGTGGCTGCCAGCATGAGGGTGGCACTCCAAGGGAAGCTCAGGCAGGTCTGAGAGTCAGCACACAGGTGGCTATCATCCCAAAAAGAAAAAGGACGACTTTGCGACCTTACCACAGCTTCCGACGTGCACGGGTATTTCTGTAGCCTCATTTTGGGAAGACTCTTTCCTGGATTCAGCAGGTGCAGCTTTAACTTGCCAAAAAGGATCTTCAACAAAACATGTCGGAGAGTCCCACATTTGAGAGACATGGAACATTACTCTAACAGAGGCAAAGCTACCCACCAGAGAAGACCCAACCCACACCACTTGCACTCCCAATAGATGTTACAAAATGCTTAAATTTTGATTTAATACTTTTCTTGGATTTAAAGGCTTTGAGGTAATGAATCTAAATGTGTTAATTACTTGTGAGAACACAAACAACTTACATACTTTTGAGATAGTCAACAAAATAATATTTATAAATTCAGAATAAATTCCCCTTTAACTCCTAAATAATATATTTTATGAAAGGATCACTAGCTTTACCTCTCGGAGCTGATTATTACTCATTATAAGGAACTGTTCTCCTGCAACAAAATGAGCTTCTTGCTCTAATTCCTTGAGACGAGCCTGAAAATGTGATAAACACAATCCCATTAATGGTTTTCACAATTTAAAGTTATTTAATTAGTTCAAACAATCCCCCCCAAAGCTCTTAATGGAACAAATATATATATATATATATATAAAATTTACCAAAAAGAACATTGAAAAAATACATATTTTGACTCATGGTCGAATACTCAGTTCAGAGTCACCCTCCCTAAACCTAACAAACGGAAAGGAGCAAAGATTACAATACATCA